TGTAAGGAGAGGGAAGATGACGTAATTATGAGATTTCTTTTGGGGAAAATCGTTCAAACATGGAAGATGGCCTGAAAAGTATTAAGCAAAGGATGTGATTCGTTACTTACCTAGTTTTAATGACCAAAACAGTCCTAAGTGGTAATATGTGTAGTGCTGCTAAAACTACGCTAGTTTTATGATTTAGGAAAAAAAAACTACTGAAGGTTTACAAAACTAGAATCAAGACGTACTTGGTGCAGATAGTATTGAAAAGCTAAGTTTTTAACATCTTAAAATTTGAACGTATAATAAATGAAACTAATCTAGAAGCTTGTAGATACAACCAGCCAGATACCGACTATTCAAGATACAAAGACTGGTTACACCGTCAACATGGACATTAGTTGGAGTAACAAGGGTCACTTAGAAGAGAGAGCCAGTTTTTGATGAGTACCCACATTACAAAATCTCACCCCATGAGATTAGCATTGAGCCCTGCTACAGCGGACCCTGATACATTTCTGTCGGTTCACGTACTGTAGTGCGACACGTACACCTAACTAATAAAACCTTAAAACCTTTAAAAAAAGAGAGAACCTTAAATCACAACCCTGCTGCTAACGGTACCCTGTCGAATGCGTGCAGCGAACCAATTTAAAAAATTACGGTTCTAAAAGCCGATTATTTATTTAATTTGGCAATAACATGGTCCCGCACGTCCTACTATACCCTGAAATCCTAAGTAAATCAGATCGTGAGACATCTTATTCTGCCAGAAATCCAAACCGAAGGACCCGGCATATCAGTCGATTACCCGAAATAAAATGTTCAATCATTTAAAATTCATCTGAAAGGTTTTGAAATTTTCGACCTTGATTAAATGTCAGGGAATTTAATAATTTCACTATTAAATTTGATAAAAGTTTTGAAATCTATGATCTCAAGCGACACGAAGATCCTTTACCGTTAGTCTAATTATTCGCGTATCTTATGTTGTTTAGTTGCCTTGTTACTCTATGATTGTAAGTTAGCACAATTGGAGATTATGCGGAGAAACAAGAGGCTCACAGGGCGCCCCGGTAACTCGTACTCCGTTTTATAGATCTAGTTATAGTGTAAGCTATATTATATACTATTGACCACATAACACATTTGATATAATCACATACGACTAGGAACTCAGTACCGGACTAGGAACCGAGTACCGGTCTTAGGATTTGGCAGATGGACCAGAAACGGTCGGTTATATAACATTGTACACTTCTCAAATTCCTTACCAATTACCTTCAAGGCCGGTACCAAAGAATAGTTATTGGTAATGTCATCCACCCTTTTAGTTAATTCTGGTGTCCCCCAGGGCTCTATTCTTGGTCCCTTACTCTTTGTATTGTTTATCAATGATATTCCCCTTGGCCTTTCGGATGATACCGATATTCTATATTGTTTTGTATGCCGATGATACAAAGGTCTGGCGTAAAATACGTCCATCTTCTGATAATGCTAATTTGGATATAATAATCTTACATATAATTTGCATATAATAATCTTGATGGCTCTCCTCTTTTGTATGTATAGTTTTAAAAAGATCTTGGAGTCGATATTACTCCTAAGCTAAGTTGGAATAGTCAATACAACAGTATTTATACTAAGGCCTGCCAACAACGTGTTATGCCAGAAGAAATAGCCATATTGTCATTGATCATAAACGTCGCCGGCCCTTTGCCTTTCCCTTGTTCGTAGCCAATTCGAAAATTGTTCCATAGTCGGGCGCCCTTGTAATAAATCACTTAGTGATAAATTAGAAAGTATCCAAAAGAGAGCTATTAAATGGATTCTATCTGAAGAGGGCCGCAGTTATCCACCTGAGCGATATGTCAAAAAGTGCAAGCTTGTAAACCGGACCGGACCGGAACAAGATATCAAAGCCGGATATCCGGTCAGTTCCTATTTGGTGGCCGACTTGCATTCGACCGAATTGGTCCCCACTGGGAATCGAATCCCAGCCATCTGCTTGGGAGGCGAATGCACTATCCATTATACCACCCAGCCGTCGATCGTTCTTAATAGATCGGACAAGATTGGATGGTTGAGAAAAGGGAATTAAGTTAGAGCAAGCCCAAACGGCAAATTCAAACAAACAAATATTGTACAGGGTAGTCAAGAAGTAACTGCTACACGTAACCCCTTGAAGTGGAATGCCACACCGACAAACTTTTCAGCGAATTTTATGACTCGAATGTATGAGTTATTCAAGGATTGCGTGCGGGAAGTAACTTCTGGACCGCTCTGTACTTATAATTATAATATTCTTACTGAGTTGTTACTGTAACTCGTGACGTTTTCAGCATCAAAAGTGGGTTCTATAGTGGAGTTTGCATATACATTTTAGTCCTTTATTATCATAACCTCTATAATTAAGCCAGACCAACCGTCCGATGCTGTTGTTATTTGCTCATGGGACCAGGTAAACAAACTAACAAACAATACTTCTCTAATAATAATATGGAGAGTGTAAGCTACTGTGGTTGAGTAAACCATCGATAATTAAACATTCTTATTGTCCGGCGAGGGATTACGATGTCGTCATAATTTCTGTAAATTAGCCAGCTTCAAGATTAATATTTGTGTCTTATGTCCTTGGTATATGTTGCAATTATTATCCATAGTGATTACTCATGATCGATATCGATGCTTTAAAATTTCAAGGTGGCTCGTTTTTAAAGGTCTTTAGAGGTCTAAGATTTTTTAAATCGAATAAGACACTTTTTAAAGGCCTATCTCAAAATTCTGGCTCAAGAGATCTCTTCTGATAGATTCTTAAAACATACTTACTTTGGATACTTTGGAGAGATTCGTAGATTCCTCTACTGGGTCATCGAATAGTTCGACCGCCCTTGCAGCATCGCTGCTGCCTTATTCATACTCCAGTCCAACAAAGAATTTCCATTAGGGCAGCTGTAATTGCGCACAGATGGGTTATCTGGAAACGGTCTAAGAAGTTCTGATAGCTTTGCTTTGAACAGCAGTGGGTCTTCAATGAGGTGAAGATCTGACGGAATGGTGTTCCATAAACGTGGCCCCATTACTGCAAATGAACCATCATACAATGACTTGGAATGGTGGCATTGATTCCGTGTCTTGATGGAGTAGAAAAATTGATCCCCAGGTCATTTGGGCATCGTTGATGCAAGATTTTCCACATGTGGATGATAAAATAACGCTCTCTCCTCCTTTGCATCGACATTAAATTTAGTGCTTTGAGCCGCTACCAATAGTCAAGATGTTGAACACCCCAAATCCTTAAGGTGAAAGTATGCCGCGCAGTACTCCTTCAATCTGTTGGCTGTCTGAGATTTTACTGGTATTCCACAGAGGGCAGCAGTACTCTAAATGACTTCGGACAAGTGACTTGTAAAGTGTCAACATTGTGATTCTATTTCTGCATTTGAACGCACATATCCTAAAATTTTGATGGTGATCGCTTTAAAAAATAGACTCGATTTTCAGGGCACACAATTAAAAATCGCTTGCACAATACAATTATGCACAAGCGTTGACCTTTGACCGGCGATAATTTCGGCTAGGAACAATATTTTTACATGGGAACAAAATAGCTGATAGATATTACTGACCTCTATCAGGAACAACCATAAAGTCGATTTCGGGAGAATTTTCACGAAGACCCCCTTCGGTCAGATTTGTGCACTTCAACTTGGCGTACAATAAAATAAGAACTACATGCCCATAAATATGATAAGGGTCGAACGTTTTTCATGAGGTAAAATTAAAAACACTGGAAAGAAAGTACAGTCAAACCTTTCTAGACTATACTGGGCCCATTTCATTTCATTTTTGAGAGTCTGACTTCTTGTTACCTAACATCCTTTAGTCTTAATTATAATTTTCTGATATAATTGGAGTATTAACCCTTATCTTTATTAGGTACTGAAGATGTCCGAAAATGTTTTACCAATGATGTTATAAAGATTTTGTTGGAATTTTTAAACTCATTCGTTGTCTTACTGTGGGAACTATTGATTTTTGATCTATACTGGGCCTCTCGGGGGAAACGAAAATTGCACGGGATAGAAAAAAAAACGGTATATATGGAGATAAGCTTCTCATATATTATCTAGATAGCGTCAGTAAATACGGAGACCGTGCGAGTATCACAAGACTGCGGATCAGTGCACACTGCACATCGACTCGAAATTGAACTTGGCCGATATAATCAAACTCTTCGTGAAGAGCGTTACATTATATGCTCCTGGTGCAATAATAATATAGTCTTAGGTACTGTATCACTTCCTCAACCATTGTGATCTCAGCACTGCTACGAGGCGAAATGTCGTTGACAAGGTTCAATCAATCATCCAAAACCTAACAACTGCAACATTAAAACCACACTGATTCTAAAGAATGCTGCACGTCAGACCTCTCCAGCTCTCCACGATAGAGCATGTTGGCGAGCAGCTCTGACAAATATAGAGTCTGTATGATTATTGAGTATTATTGATGTTGCAATGTATATTATTCGGTTGCAGCAAGTAATTACTCTGTAGGGTCTGTATTACCTGGACATCATGATATACCCTTGTATTACCTTATTGTCATTTTCCCGAGAACTAAAATTAATTACATTCAGGTATTATATTATTAGGGAATTGGGAATGGGGAGGGGGACAGTGGCTCAAACCAGCAACACCGCTAAGTTAAAGTTTACACACGTTCACGTCTGTGTCCATTCATAAAAGAAATTATCTATAAAACTGTAACTTCAAAGTTGCGGGAGGGGGTAATGTATTACCTTTTTCACCCCAAATTTTGGTCAAAGTCAAAACTTCAGAATGCTACTAAGAACATTATAATAGATACAGTAAAACTCTCTTTATTTTCGTGGTACCAAGAGGCATAGCAAAAATTAGAAAAAATAGTAAAAAATTATTATATATAATAATATATAATAATATATAATATAATATATATATGATGATGAACTTTTCTCCATCTTCCCAAAATGTCATGCAGAAAAAAGTAAGAACAATAATTATTAATTGTTGAATTTTTAGCACCGCCTTTACACAAGGTCTATGTAATGTTTATCATCCTTCTTCCCTCTTCAAATCACTAACAAAGCTTTCCTCTTAAACTCACTGGCAAAGCTTTCCTCTTAAACTCACTGGCAAAGCTTTCCTCTTAAACTCACTGGCAAAGCTTTCCTCTGAAACTCACTAACAAAGCTTGCATGTCTTTCTGCAGTACCGTTGAACATTATTACCTTTAGCGTAACATTCTCCACGATGTGTTTTCACTCCACAATAGCTCGATCCCAACAAGTCTGTGCAATCCGCACTGAATGGAATATGCTGTCATGCCTTGGCAATTTATTGTATTTCATTCAAACCGAGCATGCTTCAGTATAAGGCAAGTCTTCAGCCATCAAAAGTAAGTAAAATTGTTTAAGAAATCGTGAAATGAAGTGAAACATACTCAAAGAGGGCATGAGGAGCATCAGCAGGAGCACCAGCAGGAGCTGCAAGAAGGACATCAGCAAGGACAGGGGGAGGGGGAGGGGGACAGTTATTGCAAGTTTTCTGGCAGTTAATGAGAGTTTGTTCCCCTCCGCATAGTCCCTTCTTCCTCCGGCTCAAGCAGCTACCTTTCTTATAATTGTCCTTGCAGCTGTTTGCCGCGACTACAAGTAGTACCAGGAACAGTGTTGATCTCATCATGACGCTTACTGGATTTATTATTATTTTATAATATAATGTAAGGACTTTCTTAATTTAATACCATTCATTTTATCACTCCTACTATATATTGCAGATTATTTAAGCAAACCAAAAAGACATGAAACAATTAACCATTTGAAACTAATTACCAGCCAACTACTAAAGCTAGAACATTTTGGATGACCAAAATATATCCTAATTCATAAATTGTAGAAGAATTTCGGCCGGTTCCGGGGCCAGGGATGCCTTCTTCTGCTTAAGCTAGGCCTGCGTCGTGGCTTCCTCCTTCTTGATGAGGTTTGTCTTCACTGGGTTGCCCATGATTCAGGGATTCTAGCAGAAGTTAATAATGATGAGAGCAGAGTGTTGAAAACTGGGAAGCTACGTGGCAAACAATGATCTAGATAAAAACAAAGAAATGAAGGAGTCCTCTTTGACTACGCCGCGCCAGTTTGGACAGACTGGGGGGAGCCGGGTGAATGCAGAATACTGAAGACCACTTGGAATCAAGTACTACATTATGGTACGGCCCTTGATGAGGCGAAGCCAACATCAATAAGAAGACTATGCCATAGTTTGCAAGTATTATAGCTTGTACACTGTACAAACATAGTATTGGAATATAATGTCTGCGTCCTTGACTAACTTATATTTCAGCTAAATAGAGTATGGAATGAGAAATATTTATTTTTAAATTTCAAGATTCTTACCGAAAGATTATGAAAAGCATGCCCATTTTTCACCACTTTAGGTTTAGTAAGTCAGACGCTAATCGTCCGATACTTTTGTTATTTCTCATGGGACTAAGTAAGGTAAGCAAACAATACCTTTTTATTGTACTGGAGAGTGTAAGCTATTATGGTTGATAATACTGAGTATAAACCGTTGTCAAATAAACACTCTTGTCTGGCGAGGAAGTACGCTTTCTGTAATTCAACAAAATGAGAAATTTCTGCGAAACATTTCAAATATAGCAGCACCTACAGAGTTATGGTAAAATGATGTTGTTGTATGGAGTAACCCTTTATAATATCTTCATGATACATAATATTATGATATGAAGAGCTAGCCTGGGTCAGGGTACAAGAGGAGCTTTTCGTCCTTCGCAGGTGTTTCTGATTCGTGGGGGTTTGCACTTTGCAAGGACCCAAACGTTGTAGTCTGTGCTCCGGTGCTCGTCATAATATATTATCTAGAATCGTATCGTCGATTTCATCATGCACCACCTAGTAATATTACTGTGTTGATTTGTTGACTTTTAACAAAAGCTACTAGTTCAATGAACATCTTTGTGCGTGGTTCTGGAGAATGCAGCGTGTACGTCACGTGACCTCTCCACGATAGAGCAATGCAGCTCTGACAAATGTTCATACGGCTACCGGACAACTGAACCCAATTTGGACTTTTCCTAGACAGGGTAGCTTGGGAAAATAATTATAAACCCAATCAGACTACCTAATTAACTTTGAAACGACAACTGAACCCAATCGTCACTATAAATCACTAACAGTAACAGTTTAACAGGTTTCCAAATACCGTTCTAGTTTAGCTGCTGCCTGGTTTCTAGTGCTATAATTTCGGTCTGTTGAGGTTGGTGCTTCGGAGTGGTTGGCAGATCCGGACTTATCTGCTCGTGATCGTTGGACAATTCTGGCAAGGGATTCTAGTTTAGGTAGTACCACGTTGATTTCGGATGGGCATGTAGATAAGGCTTCGGTGAGGAGGTTTTGGGTTGCTGAGAGGTGTTGGTCGGCAGCTTTCCGCTTCAATTCTGCTCTGAACTCTGCTTTCTCAGCTACTAAGTTGTCAGGGTCGTGGGAATGAGGTTTGGCACCGCTTGCCAAGGACTGATCTCCATGGTCAAGGAATACATGAGCAGGACATTTCTTGGTTCTGTAATTCTGGCATCTCCAAGTAGAGGTAGTAGGGGTATCTCGATCCTTTCGTACTAATAGATGACAAGGTCTCAGGTGTCTTTCGATCGCGAGATCTGATCTAACAAGCTTACGTGTTCAGTGTTCACGAAGCGTGCCGAAAAGGATACGATCCACTGCTCCTCAAGCATCGAGACCCAGGGCTCAAGATCTGAACCATGGCAGGCCCTCCCAAAGCATCAGGAGTCACGAGATCGGAGTCAAGTAACCTGAGCCAAGTATCCAGCGTGCTAATGGTGCGTTCCATCAGCTTTGGAAGACATGAAACAGTGGAACTATAAGAACGCCCATCAAGATCCGTATCTACAAGGCTAACTTTCAAAGCTAGACGGACACGTTGCCAGAATGCCAGAGACACAGGTTCCCAATTTTTTACTGGATTAGAAACCAAACTATGGGAAGAGACTGAGAGGACGACTCCGTAAAGGCTGGATGGCTTGTGTTCTCGAGGATGCGGCTGACAGGTGTCGATAACATCAGCAGAGACGCAGTAAAACAGTTAGCTCTAAAACTAGTGGAACACCGTAGAAGAGATGTGTGTGATGCAGGCCACTCCAACGACTAGGAGGAGACCTCTTCAATCTTCATGTAGCATGTATGTATTAATATTTTACCGGGGTAAGCACAGGGCTCCAATGCTCTAAATTACAGTGGTCATGATCTATCCTATAGTGATAATGAGCACAGTCCCCTGCGAAGAAGGAGAACCTGAAAATCCGATCGTTGGGTTCAGTTGTCGTATTTCCTTGGGTTCAGTTGTCGTATTTTCAATTTGGGTGCAGTTGTGATATGACCTGGGTTCAGTTGTCGTTTTGGGATTTAAGCTGATTGGTCACCCAATTAAGCTGATTGGGTGCCTGTTAACTGCGTGGGAACTAGGTTCAATTGGGTTCAGTTGTCTGCCACCCGTTCATACATGAACCAAATAATATGCATTGCAACAATAATATTAAATAATCATATTCTGGACCATTCTTTTTATGACACAACTAACACCATAATAAACTCTCTCGAAGAAAGGATGTAACGCGCAGTTCTATCTTTCTATTTAAAACCGAGTAAGAATCTGTTCATAATATATGATTCAGACTGTAGTCCACCCTATTTTAGTTTCAAGTATGTCTCTTCTTTTTATCATGTGTTTGTAAAATAATAATATACATAGTTACACCTGAACATCATGATATACCCTGGCCTTGTATTACCCTATTGTCATTTTCCCGAGAACTACAATTTATTACATTATTCTAGGGAATTGGGAATTGGGAGGGGGACAATGGCTCAAACCAGCAACACCGCTAAGTTAAAGTTTACACACCTTCACGTCTGTGCCCATTCATAAAAAAAAGTATGTTACATCAAATAAAAAAGTAATGAAATTAAGTTAAGGGGGCATCTGCAGGATCATCGGAGCATCAGCAGGAGCATAATGAGGACCACTTGGAATCGAGTGCTACATTATGGCACGGCACTTTATGAGGTCAAGCCAACAACAATAAGAAGTTGAAGATAGTGGACCCCCCTTGTGACTGCCCCAGTGCCCCTGATACTTTTAACTGCCCCCTATTCGCTTATGAGTGTATAATGTAAATCACACAAGAGATTAGAGAAGATACCCGGCAGTTGAATTTCCAATTTCCATGAGGTAGCATGATATTAGCTTTGCTTGATTTGGAAGTAAAATTGGGAGGAAGGACCGTGGGGTTATTGTTGATCAAATTGGGGTAACCGACACCGACAACTGATCCCACTGATTTGAATTTTGGTCAAAACTCAGGTATTTTTGCTGACGTCGCTATTAAATAAACAATGACCTTTATCTTGATGAGGTTTATTATTGTTGCAAACCTCTTATTGTTGCGAACCTCTTATTGTTGCGACCTCTTTTGCACGTGCCTGTGTCCAAGCGAGACTGTTGGAATAACAAGGCTAGGGTGGAATCATTATCAAGAAAATTGAAATAAGGTGGTGGCCAGAGTAAGAGTCCAGAGCACATGTGTTACTGGTTTCCCCAATCATATAGTAATGTCAAATTCTGCTTACTTGTGCCTATCCTGATCAGTCTGAGCATTTCCCAGCCTAAAAATTCTTTGTCGCCATTCGATTTTATTCAAGTTTCAATGTTGTATATTTCTGTATTTTTGATGAAAGTTTCAAATCAAATCAGCTGCTTGTTGGTTGTTCAGCAAAACAACACACACATGATTCGGGCCCTGAAGAACTGTGACTGATAATGACCTAGATAATATTATATGCTATTATCATATTGCATTGTTACCTAATTAACTCATTGAACCATATAACTATAATTCACTGACCTCGAAGTTAGGATCTCTTTAGTGACCCCATGAGGTAACAACAATAGTGAAATGATAGAGAGGAACGTTTTATCTTCAGCTCTTCTAATTTAGACTAAAGAGTAAAGACTGACATGTTCCAAGGTTGCCAATAACTGTAGTGTTTGATGACACACTTACTTTAACAAAAAACAACCTGCTTACTGGCTCATAAAGCAAAATAGAATTTGACGTTCATTACAGTGGGTCCCCAAGAGTATTGATTAATAATCATGGTGTTAAAATATAGACAACAACTACAATGAACAAAAATTAGGAGAGGTTCTCCCGAACATCCCCAAACATCATGCTGAATCTCAGCGCCCCTTTAAGGGGCCGGGGGGGCCTTTAATCAATAATCATCACTACTTTTTATCTACCCTTCCACAAAAGATCCCAAAAAACAAATGAACCAATTAACACCAATCAATTAACAAAGTCTGCATGTCTTTCTGCAGTAACGTTGTGTGTTACCTCCTCTCTTCCAGCATTCTCCACGATCCTTTCTCGACAGACAGTAACTTTCTGACAGTATGTCATCGCACCGATACCTAAAAGAGAGTTATTTGTCATTATCTGGGGGATCGCCATACTATCGGCTACAAAGTCTCCAATAAGAAAAGGGAATTGTGATAATTAAACTTACTCCTCCTCTGGCTCTGACTGGATTTCAGGAGCATCATCAACAGGAGCATCCTCAACAGGATCATCCGTACAGTGTCCACAAGTTTTCTGGCAACCATTCTGACCTTCCTCATTCCCACATCTCCCTTGTTTCTTGATTCTTTTGCAGTTGACTGGCTTGCGATCGTCGCTGCAGCTCTCTACAACAACTACAAGAAGTCCCAAGAGGACAGCCAGGAATAAGGTTGATTTCATCATCTGGATTTAAGGGTTTTTAGAAAGGAATACACTTTTCCTGATAAATTTACGCTCGAAAAATCTATGAAGATAAATGAAGAATTTGATACAGCTCAATTATTGTAATGTGTTACACGATTAGTTGAAATGCCATTTGTTTTTCTTCTTCTTCTTCTTCGTAGGGGGCTGTGGCCACTATAAGAATAAGATGGAGCCCTGTGCTTACCCCGGTTAGCACTGAACTCCAATTTGATCGGTCACTAATGGTCTAAAACGCTCAAAACTACAAAGCTGGTAAATCAAACATATAGACTCAAATAAAAACTCTGTAAAAAACACAAGGATTTAACAATTTTTCTTTAAATTAAAAGTAGGCACTTATAAAACTTTTATTACAACATGAGACATGGCAACTTAAAATTATTCATTACAAAATATGAGCAGTTTTAAAAATTCACTAGCCCTCACCGAACATTGTCTTTCCGAGCTGGTAGTCAGCGGTAGTGCTCAAAAAGTTCCAAATGTTCCTCATAGAGGACTGGTTTATTATATTATTATCATGCGATCATGAGCTGTGTCGAGACGTCCAAACTCCAAATCAACCATGCCCGACGAGACTCAAAGTAATTCTCATCACACATAAGATTTATAATTTCTGGGAAACTTCAACCGAATGGTACAGTGTAAAATTTTAATGTAGATATATTGATATTAATTATTTTGGTTAATTACACAGCAACTCACAATTACCAAATCCTTAGGATAGATTAATTTACACTCCAATCTTTAAAATAGACTAACTGCAGCTCACTGTCCGCGTCTGAAGTTTTAAACGGAACCGGTCTGAGTTTATAAGGTGTACTTGAGCCGGCTAAACGCCTGTTAAAAGCCTTCTTAAAACCTCAAAGAACACAGCTTGTCCTTTGCAAAGAGCTTTTAGCCGCCTACTAGTGACTGTTCAAGGGAAAACTGACCCTTGAATTACAAAGTGGTTGAACATTTTGTAGCTGATTATCTTCGGTTAAATTTTAATTTTCCTCTGATCAACTACTAATTTCAGACACGAGAGATGTTGATAAAGTCGATGGCCTGGAGAAAACAGTACAACATAGACGCTCACCTAGATATCTGGACACCGCCTCCCATTATCGAGAAGTATCTACCGGGAGCCTGGCATCGCAGTGATAAAGGTTAACTTAGTAAATTATTATTTGTTTTTAAGTGTTGTAAGTTTATTAGTTATGATTAGTAGCTCCGTTAAAATAAGGCCGGAGGTGTACCTGCGGCGTTTGGCGTGGACAATAACCCGTTATTACTCCTGACATTATGTACCTCTCGTTTCCACAGATGGACGCCCGGTCTATATCCTGCGTCTCGGACACCTCGACATCAAGGGTATGTTACGCGCGGTCGGGGAGGACGCACTCCTACGTTACGCGCTGTACATATGTGAACAAGGCATTCAGAAGACTAATGCAACCGCTCAAATCAGGTAACAATAGGCTCTGTGCATATCTCAACATTCCATAATCATGACACTTCGTTAGAAATATGTCCGTTTTAGAATTTTTAAACATGTAATTATAGCACGTTATAATTGAGATTCTAAATTTTGTGAGTTGAATTGTAATGATTTGGATGTTTGCCAACAATTATATTGTTGAAAAAGATATCTCAGTTCCTGGACGCTGCTGATTGATCTGGAGGGACTTAACTTAAGACATCTTTGGGCTCCAGCCAGGATTGCTATGAGACGGTTTACTGAGGTGTGTTATCTTGATTTAACATATTTATATTATTATATATATAATATTAAGAGGGTCAAGTTCGATTGCTGTAATTTTATTATCAAGTTCTAAATTCAGCAGCCGTTCAGAATTTGTCAAATATTTAAACAGACCAAGCTTTACTCAATTTATGATGATTTGTAAACTTTTACCGGAAATCGCCAATATTTAGATTGGTAAACGGTTATTATATGTTTATACAAGTCGTATAAAAGTTGCCAAATATCTTACTCGCCAATAAATGATGAGTTAGGTACAATTAGCTTAGACATCATCACAAGTTGTAAATATTTGCACGGCTACCGGAAAACTGAACCCAATTTGGAATTTTCCTAGACAGGGTAGCTTGGGTCACCCATTTACACTGGTAAACAGTAACTACTATACTCAAACCCAAGTCATGTATAATGCGATGTTTGGGTTTTTGATAATATGGAGGTACATAAATTTAAAATTTGCTAATAAGATTTAAAACCTGTGAACATAAGTGGTGTTTGTATAAGTAGGGGAGAGGTCATAATCTTATCTTCTTATCTCTGTAAATTAATACGTGGTATGCACTAAGGTTTCTGTAAACGCTGAGACCGGTCAAATGCACTTAAATAACATTCATAATTTTGTAGATAATATTTAATTGCTTATTGAATTTGGGTCCAGTAGAAATGGTCTGACTACTCATATTCTTAATTCTACAAATTAGGTAAATTTCTATTGAGATTGTCAGCAGAGCTCTATTGTATTAAAAAGATTGATTATCTTAATACTTTTAATTGTATTGTTTTAATACTTTCAACACTACTATATAACAAATAATTTGAGGCTAGTGATGTAAATCTACGAAGAATTCACCTATATCTGTGCCGTCTTACTGTGTGTCCAAACCAAATTGAAAAAGATTGATTATCTTAACTTGGTCCACCGCCCAAGCAGTATTCTTCGATGTTGACCTATATTTCTTGCCAAAAGTTACGTAAGCTTAGCCTGAACTTTAATAGTAATTATCATCTTAAAAGGGAATTACAAAGTAAGACTTTACCTTTTATTACCTAACAAATGATGTGTGGATATTCTGAAACGTTTCAAAATAAGGTTACGTGTAGATTTTTTTAACGTACGATACAATATATCAATTACTTAACATATAGCCATAGGCAAACTTAAGAAATCCCTCCCCCTGCGTCATCAACTATTCCTGTTTGTTCATCAACTATACTAGCTATTGTCTGACAATTACGTTAGCAAAAGCACTTCAGTCCATTTCGAAACCCTGTCCTGGATCGTGACGTAATTATTTAACCCTACCACACTGCGTTATCTCATCCGAGTCAAGAAGATAACAATAGATCAGTTTAATATCACGACACACCCATCTTTCTGTCAAGTAAGACAAGTAAATATGTGTAGCAGATGGTACCTTTGCAAGAAGATGTACTGAATTCAATATCTCCGTTGTTACAAAAGGCACCGACATTTTACGAGGAAATAAATAACAAATAAATAACAAAAATATGTTTTAATAAATAAATATATAAGGAATAACAATGCGAATAAATATTCATTTATATTTGTTTGCAGGTGATGGAGCAGAATTACCCTGAAACGCTGGGGGTTGTACTGATAGTACAAGCTCCACGCCTCTTTCCTCTCGCGTGGACTCTTGTTAAGAGCTTTATCAATGAAAATACGAGGTACATACTATTATCTACTCTTTGCAGTAATGTCAAATAACGGAGTAGTTCGCTGTTTATTAGACTCATGATTGAAATACTGATAGTTGGATAATATTACTCCTAACTTCCTTGTTTCACTTGTCCTTGTCTTTGCAGTAATATCTGTTTATTTTGCATGTGCTAAATTCCGATTTCTCTCCCGAACAAATGAGAATTTAATTGACTACACTTGACTATGAAGTCTGAATTTTGATGACGCAAAACTTACTTTAAACTATGCAGGAGGAAGTGTTTGGTCTACGGTGGCAATGACTATCTGGAAGACGATGGAATTCACAGTTACATTCACCGGGAGGATATCCCCGACTTTCTAGGTGGTCCTAGTCCTGTAAGTAATTAGCTCTCCAATCGTATGATCGGAGCTTAACTATTATACTCATATCAGTGTGATTATTGCCGGCAAAATGTCAAGACCGACCTGGACCAGTGACGGGTTTATTTTTAGATTACTTAAGCAATTATCACTACTTTAAGTGGGGCGCGAAACATCTTCTTGTAGCTCTTCAGCATTAGTAGAAGCCGCGCATGCGCGCGCCATGTTTTGCTGGCTGACATGATGACATGAAGTAAATTGACGCACATGATGGATACGTGGCCTAATTACTGTAGTATATAACGACATGTGAATTATTATTATCAAACATGTCAATCTTACAAATGTCAACAATCCTAAAATAATTTAGAACCGAAATGTGATCCTTTGTAAGATTATATGTCCCAAAAGTCAAATTGACTTGTACTCAAGTATAAAGTCGAACAGTTTACTCCAATAACTACGGTCACTAGCAAGTTCTCTCAAATGAAGAATATCATCATACGACTCAAGCAAGATGAAACGCTTCCAGAGGTCAACCTTCAGGTGGTGTAGGAGACGACATGTGAATTAGGTTATAAGCCTTTAACCTATTTAAAGTTTGACGTACTTTATCGGACGTTATTTTACCAGACATTGTGTGAACGGATATGATTATGAACGGACATTAAAATTAACTCTCGAAGACATTCATTTAATGTATTTAATTTAACTACCTTGTCGGACTTAATTTGAACGGACAATTAATGTTCGTTGAAATAAAGTCCGATAAGGTAACCTTATCTATGAATACCTTAGTCTGTAATAATATGGGGGGGGGGGATTGTGGGCGTTAAAAATATGGACTGTTATAAATATGGTTCTTTGGCCCGAAAAGAACCAAATTTGACCCCCCACAATTTTAACTGCGACTTTCCTTTCGTGAAAAAAATCTCAAATCGAAAATATTGAACAAATTTTTTTCGCAATTATAACCACATTGCCGCTTTCACACCAAATTTAATATTTTTTTCATTAGATATCAGATCCCTATCAGGTGTTAAACTTCTCAATTAAATCAATGTTTATCACAAAATGCGATCGAAACAGCTGCTACTGAACTTATTTCAGTTATCTCTGTTTCTGAGTTACGAAAATTCTAGTAAATTTATGACATACGCCCACTTTCAGTGCAACATTGAGTGCAATGGTCTTGTGCCCCGAGAAGATTACACTAGGTCAACAGAAGAAGTACTGGCAAAGGAAGCTGGCCTACAATCTTTATATAAGAATTGTACTATAAAAAAGGGTGAAATTCACGAGGTAAGAAGACCGATCTGAGAAACATTAGTTTCATACTCGGTAATATTTGTTGGTTCACTCAATGCAATTTATTTTGTTAACTAATTCTTTTATCAAACTGCTTAGTATCTCGATTACTGAAGAACCGAAATTATCACCGGTTATCCCATATTGTAGGTTCAAGTAGAAGCAGATGTTGACGGTGTAATCACCTGGGACTTTGATTGTGTTCTGGGAGAGCTACAGTTTACCGTATCTCAACGTATCTTCGCTCAGCCTCAGTGCAATAGTTCACTTGCTGGACTTGTTGAGATGGCGGGCATCACTTACTCTACAACGCCGGTAAGTGGCATGTTGTGGGACCGGGTATATACCGTATAAGTCCCATTTAATCGTATAATTGTCCGCACTCTAGCTTATTACCGGGTCTTACTAATCATGTTGATATCACATTTACCACGACTTAATTGTGGCACTCGTGCCTGCCCCTCGGGGTTTTGAATGCAACCTTAAGTTTCTGAGTTCTGAACCCAATTAGAATACCTCCCAAATACAGAGTCCGACAGACAGCTACACGGACAATATCGTGGAGGAAAGCACGGTGTGTTCCTATTTAGAGGGAGACAGTGTCCAGGGATCTTTCTATGTTTCAAAACCCGGCACTTATATCTTGTCCTGGGGAAATGTTACTCCTGCTGCAAGCATCTGTTCTAAAAGCACTTTCCTCTATTCTATCGAGGTAAGAATTGTTTTCGCTTTCATTTTATCATTTTTGATAAAAGAAGCCACTTTTGAGAGTAGATTTTACACAATTTCTCCCAAATCCCCATCTTAAAAACAAGAAAGAATTATCCACTAACAATTAACCCCAATTAACCCTTTCAGACGATAGAACCAAAAGACTACGCTGGATCTGTCTCTTCCCTTACCTCCTCCTTCTCCAACCTCTCCTCTGCTGGGAGTAGCTGGAATACCTCCTCCGTTGCCAGCTGGAACAGCATGGTCTCTAGATAGAGTTATACTGGAGATAAATATCATCTCTTAATCTTTGTCTTGGACTCGCGTCAGATCTCAGCCGATCTACTTTCGGATTTTGGATTTGCGCCAAGGATTTTATGATATTATGAAATATTGATATGGGTCCTGATCTTGATGAAATTGATCGGGCCAGTAAGAACTGTTAGTGTGATGTGGGATTAAACTGTAGATTTACAGTAGACAGCATTAAATCTACGGAATGATGATTAAAGCAAGACGTAATCAAGCTATGATTATATAAATGATGAATAACGATTTAAGATGCATGGTCGTTAAGCATATATTTCTGAAATGGAATGCTGTTAGAAAAGCCACATTTTTGTTATTATACGAATTAAGTGGGAAACAAATGATATGTCGCTATTGATATTTCCGAGTAAACCGGTTGAATGGAGGGACTTTATTGAAAGTCTGATCTTCGAATCTTAATGATGGTATTCTCAAATCTTACTATATATAAAGCGAGACGATATATATATATATATCTGTGCCATTTTACTGACACCACGGCATCAACTTTAACGCGACTTTCCGCAAAAACCGTAAAAGATATACAACTGGAACTTTTTTGGCTGGGTCAAATGCTTTAATGGCCTTCAAATCAGCATGAAAAAATAAAAAATTGGCCAAGGAATAATGATTTTAGAGCCTAAAATTTGGACCCCCAAGTGGTGTCAAAAACGCCAATTAAATAGGTAATAATTATTTTAGTATTTTGAGTCTTGACACCGTTTAGGGTTATATTATACGGGTTCCTGCTAGTCCTGGTAATGTAAGAGAATACGCTGATATAATATTCAGCCCTGAGATGAAGGAAAATCTAGATACAACAGGTTTCTTATTAGAGTTTACTCGAATGTCCTGAGTTGCTCTGGAGTATGTAAAAGGAGAATTTGAGAATCACTATAATTTGCAAAATTTACGAAATTTAAGAAAGCATATCATTTTTATTGATTTTTAATTTTTTAGAAGCTTGAGTTTAAAATAATTTCTTGCGGTGTATATACAGTGCAAGATATTGAGACTAATTGGTTAGTTTAAAATTAGTGTACAGTTTTATGAATATGAATAGATTTATCAGCTTATAGTTATATAGATTAATAATCAACATCTGATGTATAATTCGTTAATAAATTTAAACTTTACTTCATATCGACCGTCTCAAAAGAGAGGAATTGCAGTAAAAGTGAACTACATAATGCAACATAAGTGCAAGTTTGCTTTATTCACCTGATAGAGTAAGCTACATCTGTCACACCCCTTAAAAACGAAGATATTTTGTATAAATCGGTTGGTTGACCCACCTTTTTAAATTTAGGTGACAAACGAACATTCCCTACCCACGTACATTCTCTAGGTTTACTAGGGAACCGGACACGAGGGCGGTCCTCCGCTCTTGTGTCTACCGCCCTTGGTCCTATTTTCCGTTTACAATTTTGTGAGAGAACTTTTAAATTTGTTTTATAAGTTATTAGATCTTAATTAGATGTATTTTATCTTAATCATTGCGTTTTATTTGGTTCCTCGTAGATCAGTCACTGAAAAAAAAGGGGAGAAGTTATTCGGTTTAATTAGAAATAGAAAAGTATTCGTCACCCACATGTGGTATCAGCAGTAGAATGTAGGCTGCCCAGATAGAGATCGAAAGGGTTGTTGAGAAATTCCATCAACGATCAATATTGGTTGAGGACTCTTTCCGTTATAAATATATGTACTTTCAAGTTAACAAGCAGACCTACACACTACACATCTTACAGTAGAATTCCCTGCATGTATTGATAATATATGGCATTATTCAATAATCATTTCACTACCTCTTCACCCTATTTTGATGGACACATGATACCACCTACTGGTTATAATTTCTGAAGAAAGCAGCCAGCAAGAATCCTGCTTTTCCCATGTAAATGAGGATAGAATATTTCTTGTAAACGGTTAACTATGCTAAGTCATGATTAGATTGAGGTAGACGGAACTATTGTGGCTTCTCCGTCGCTACAAACACGTACTGCTCATCCGTTTGTTAGCGCATAAAATTGTTATTCGTAGAAATTTATGTTACCAAATACAAGTGCGAGTATGCTTGAAGTTGATGTTGTGCCTGTATTTGTAAAAGCCATGTTCTGTGCTTTGTCAATTAAATCACAAGTTGATTAAAGCTTGAGGGTCAGCGACAACTTTTGATGATCAAAATATATAAGGGTCTAGTTTTCCGTTATAACGAAATTAAATAAAATTGTCTCAACTGTCAACCGTTATGTAAAACCGTTTTGTGTGTTTGTGGTCTGAGGTCGATGCTGTTTCCACGGTGAACCAAATAAGAAGCAATAATAGCAACATGTTTTGGTTCAAACCATGCCAACTTGCAATCATGCTTGTGATATGAGCCCTTAATAAAGGGCTATTATTAGCACCGGGGGTGAAAGTTCCTCATCAGTTCCCTAAACACTGCTCTCTTCACCTCCACTACCACCAGAGTCAGTGTAAGATACACGTGACCGTATAGTTGCAAGGACACCAGTACACAGCTGGCAAGCTAACCGCCGCAATGGCATGCACCCTCCCGCCACTCACAATAGGGAGATTAAGTCACGTGGGTGTTGCGCGCGGTCACGTGCTACGTATGTAATCTTCACGTGACCTTCAGTTCTCACCGACTGTTCAATCATCGGAGGGCGGTGCTAGTATTTGAGGCTCGACTCCGGGGGAAGCTTGTACGTTTCTGTTTGCTTGTTGTATCTGTGACTGAGATGACTGTCTGTTAATGATTTTGTCGCTTTTTGAACTCGGAAACTGGTTGGTTGGTTTCAAGGTTGATTACTACCGAGCCGATTTGTTTTATGTTGGCTTTTGTGGTTGGTAATGGTACGTTTTTTCGTGATCGTATGATTGCACATCGGTCGAACTGCACTGGTCGAAATGTTGACCGAATCGTGCGTCCACCATGTCTTCTGCCATGCTTTTAGTTTGTCTAGATTGTAACGGATACATGGTATTATCATTATCATAGGGCAGTTCTCTGTCAGAACATGGGTCCAATGCAGTAATACTCGCTTTCGACTAATAGTAATATAAAAGTAATATCTTAATTTGATATGATCGAAATCCCGAAATCATTCACCATTTAAGGTATTATTAACGGAATTATCTTCGACTGTCCCCAAAAACAGCAACATGTTCTGTAGCACCAAAATAATCTCCATTTATATTTGGTATCTGTGTAGGTAACTAAGCCAGTGTTTAATTTGTTGCATCATTTAAAAGCAACACAAAGTTATCATCAATAACGATTACTAATGGTCCTACGAATATAATCATTAATGATAATTACTTCGAAAGCCACTAATTACGCTGAATTTGGCACTGATCCTTATCAGTGATTCTAATTCTACGAGATAAGACTATCTGACGCATAATGGATGCACTGCAACTGCCCTTTTACCGTCCATTAAATCAGTATTTCTTTGTTCATGGACGAGAGCTTGTTGTTACGGCTCACGTTTTGATATGGCTAACGATTCGGACGAACAAATTAAAGGCCGTGTTCATGTTAACAGGAACCAATTATTCAGTTACAACCCTTTGTGGCTTTGTATCAATGAACTATAAGCTTATCAGTACAATTTCTTTACATGATGTCAGCATCAATGTTATGATATCCGAAACCTGCTTAATATATAACCTCGTATTATAAGTTTTCCATTTTTGTTTCGTTCCGTGGTGCTACTCATCGGCAACAATGTTCAGTTCAGTAACAACTAAGTCCGATAGTATTATTCCTGCCTTTATAGATATTTACCTGCTTAACATTGTGAAAATCGAAATAAAATAGTATTTCTGTATAGTTCACAGTTCACACATTTTATGATCAAGACCCCGTTATTCCAAGATCTGTTCACCGGATTAACGATCACTAATTTTAGAGACAAAAAGCTCTGAAATTGGTTGATTAAATGGATAAGTCATAAGATGAAAAGCAGTCCTGTACTCAGTACTGTTCCAAATCATATGTTAAATGCTCGAGTTAAATCATAAATGCTCAAGTTATATTTTAATGCTCAAAAACGATTTTCAAGAAATCGTAATTCTCAGTTTGCTGTGGTTAATTATCATTAGGTCGGATAAATTTCTAAAACAGGCTTATACTATACGTTTTCCAAAAGTCTCAACCTTGTGCAAGGATAGTCAACTACAATGTGTAATACTATTTGTATACACATAACTCGCCATCTATTTCTGCCGCATTTTTGACACAGTAATACTATCGCCATAACGGCTTAAAAGTGACAACATCTTTTCGTTTACCTGTTATAAGTTCATTATCGAGTTTAGTTGTTTCGTCGGCAATTTGACATTAACGTTGAAGCAGACATTAACGTTGAATTGACTGCAGACTGCATAATTCTCAGTCAGCTGACATAGTGATTATCTTATCAACACCTTGACGCCTATGTACTTTAGTCCATAGAACAACTTGATAGTTTCACAAAATAACTCTTATCCTTGTATTGAATTTTATTGCGGTTGTTAAGATTGATCAAAAGATGGCAATTCGTTGGAGGATACACAAAAACACAACTTGTGATCGCCGTTTTTGCACAACTGATAATGGTATCAACAGTTAAGGGGATCAGTAGAAATGACTGGAAAGTGTGACGAGAGTGCAACCCCTGCTGCTGGTGGGAGTCTGGAGCAAGGACCCTGCTCATTACAAAATACTCCAATGAAGTTCCCCGGGACCTTCCATCCCTCCCCTTGTGAGTCTGGATAATAACACAGTAGCATTCTTATCTGCTATTTAAACTAAGTAGTCCTATCACTCTCAAAATAAGAAAGTTAAAAATGTTGTATTTCTTAACTGGCTGAGGCGATGAAGTTCAATTAATTAACCGGAACAATTATTTCTAGTTCTAACCCGGAGTCGAGGTACAGCGAATCGAACAATCTCAAAACGTAGGAGGCACGAGAAATCTACTGATAGATACATTCCCAACCGGTCTTCGACAGGTTTGTTAATTTCTATAATTTACTTTAGTTTCACTTGTTCATTGTTGGAGCTCTTGACATTGATCAAGTTTACTTAGTTTAGTTTGAAAATCAGTATTTCTATTTTTACGAATTCAACTTATTAAGCAAATCAAAATATGTCGGCACCATAACAGAGTGCAGTTATCAAGCTTAAATTTTAATAAAAGTCTAGTTTGACAAAATACAACATTTATAGTTTGTAAAATTAACACCTCTTTCTTCCTCCACACCAGACCTCGACATGATTCACCATCTGATGATGTCTAAGAAAAGCAAACCCTCCCTACCTGCCAAGACCCCCTGCAAGAAGTCTGACAAACTGGTTGGACGCTGTCTCTTCTCTGCTGAAAACGCTAAAAGAGCATGCACCCGACTCCTATCCTTCTCTGCTAAACGGAAACTAGGTATTTATACTGTTTTATAGAATTATAATTCTACTAGTTAAACCCGTGCCTACGGCCGGGACTTCACTATTGCAGTTGAAATGCAAAAGTATAAACCCGCCTATTATATTCAAAAACACGCATCACATTGTCGTATGAAAGTATGAACTCTCGTGGGAGAGAGAGAGAGAACGAGAAAGGAGAAAAAGAGAGCCATTTTATGTCACATTTGTGGTATAAAACCATCAATTAAACCACTTACCAACGGCCGATTTTTAAAAAATTGCTTATTGCCTCAGAGTTTTGTCGAAACTATAACAAAAAAAACCAGTTCCGTAACGTTTTCTTGATGTCCCGGCTCGGAAATTACACGCGCACAGACAGACATTCTGAGATTATTACTTAAGATATTATAATAATCCCATATAACCGGACCCACTCACACATATACGGCCAGATTATCACGCCGCTCAAAGCTGCTCCTCGTCTTCGAGGCCCGGATCAAACGTGATCTTAAGCGTGGTATAAGATAGTCTCAAAATTTCATCATGACCACGAGATTTCTCCAAGAAGTCTCTCCAGGCTTCTGAAGAAAGATGCTGCATTTTATTGCTACATATCAGCATAAACTCTCAATTGAATTTTAAAATAGAATTAGTAGTCTAGTGTTAGTATTGAGTTACTGAGCCACTCATTTGATAGGGGTGGGTGATATTTGGGTTATGTCGCACATATCCGTTAGTAATAATCAAACAACGGGTTTGACAGTCACGGTTGTTGCCAAAGTAGACCGTGTTGTTGTCACGTGGTAGCTCTTTACACGGTCACGTGATAGCTCTTTACACAGTCACGTGTAAAGGGTGCTTTGCTTCGTCACGTACCGCACCTGACCCAGCAAAGCACCTTATACACAACATTGTGCCAGTAATTTCGTTCGCATAATTCGGTTTTTGTTTTAAAAAAATCTTTGGTAAATGTAACACTAAATCTTTCCTTCAGATTTCAATATGAGTGAATGTTTCTCGTCTCGAGGAATGAAACCTCAGCTGAAAATGAAAGAAGAGACTGCCCTAAAAATCTTAAACGCCCCCGGAGCAGCCAAGAACTTTTACTACAACCTCCTAGACTGGGGAGTTAACAACATAGTGGTTATAGGGCTCAAGGAGGATGTTTACTACTGGGATGCTGCTAAATGTGAGTTTTACTTTTTACCGCAGACAAATACCTCTAAATCAAAATAGAATTGCCAGCCCTTTCAACTTTTAAACATTTTCATTTGTGTTGACGCATTTTAACGACTTAATCTAGATATCTAAAATGAAAGCATTGTGACGAGTTCCTTTATTTCAGCACAAGCGTACGTGTTACCCCAGGAGGGAGGGAGAGAAGGAGATCTGGTTACCTGTGTCAGGTGGAAACCGGACGCTACAAAACACATTGTCTCCAGCAGATATGGTACTACTAAGGTAACTTTCAGTTGCAGCAGTTTGAGTTAATCAACCACTTTCTTATTCTTTGGCAATCATATCAAAGCAGCGTATTCTTCAAAACCTTCAACTCATGTTGATACAACCAGTTTTAAAACTAACCTAAAAAGACTGAACATGTTGAAACAACGAGTTCTTCATCTCCTAAATACCGTCTATATCTATCTATTTCTTTAAATACCGTCTATATCTATCTATTTCTCTAAAATACTCTCTGCAGTTGTGGGACAGTACAGTTTGCAAGCTGGTCTCTTCCCACGTCTCCCCCACAGTCTACTCTACTAGCTGGCGAGACAACAACCTCGTCTCCCTGGGACGGGGGGACGGTACTGTGCTTCACTGGGATATCAGGACTCCCGAGACTCTGCACCGACCTTTCTCTGCCACTTCTGGTATGTGTGCATTTAGTTTAGCTTCACATCTGGTATGTGTTTATTTGGTTCAGCTTCACTTTGAGAGTACATCCCTATATTCTATACAATTAAGAATCGTAAAATACAATTTTAGACCACGTGAAACATTGTCTTATCTTCTAATTCGGCAGGTATAATATGTGGACTGGATTGGGACAGGGAAGGAGAAAGTCTAGCTGTGGGCTGTAACGACAATAAGGTGCAGATATTCAGGAACACAAGTCTGCGAGACTCTGAGACGCTGACTATGGTGTACCAGAGTGCCGTGAAGGCTATATCTTGGAACCCGCTGCAGAGAGGTGTTCTGGCTACAGGTACCAGATAACAGTTACAATCTAATTTCTTTACAAATCAATCTCCAACAATTGCATGCTCAATTCCGAGCACAAATATTGGCAATTCATTCTGAGATTAGATATTAACATGTTCTTATTAACATGCTCTTTCTCTGCAGGATCTGGGCAGAACGATCAGAGGGTGGTAGTGTGGGACCTTATTTCGGGGAACTACAAGAACTGTATAGACACAAAGTCCCAAGTAACCGGTCTGATCTGGTCACCCAGCTGCAACCAGCTGGTCACATCCCACGGTCACTTTGATCCGAACCTTAGGTTATGGGAGCTGAAAAACAGTGTCAACACGGCTAAACTCACTGGACACACCAACATGATTGTTTCTATTGCCAAGTCACCCATTAATGATCATATTATTTCGCTGTCTGCTGATGAGTCGTTGAGGGTTTGGAACATTTTTGCTAAGAATAATGCTTCGAATAAAAGTAAACTTTCTTCTTCTGTACTATCATTGGACAAAATCAGATAACTTTTTGCATGAGTTTAGTTAGTTTAAACTTTAAAGTGTGTTGAGATTATTTATGGTTGTTAAGTAGTGAGCATATTTGACGATATATTTGTGCTTGAATCAGTATTAGCAAGTTAACAGACAAGTTGTACATACTTTATTTGTTGCTTTGTAAAGTTTAGCCCTCAGTTCATATTCAGATGTGTATTTGTGTATTTGTGAAATTTTACTGTATTTGACTAATTTTTATCATCGATCTAGTTAAATGTCCGTGTTTTTATTCTTGTCCACTTGGGCGTAAATTGGGGTTCCATTTACTTCGGGAATAGCTTCCTCTTTGGTTGATTTCTCCTTCTTCTTCTTTTCTGGACTTCCATCCTTCACGCTTTCCCGTTTGTCCCTTTTCTCCTTATCCTTCTTTTTGTCTTTTTCAAGAGTTCCCTTTTTATCATCATTTTCTTTACCTTTCTCAAGATTTCCGGTTTTTTCATCTTTCTTCTTATCTTTCTTTTTGTCTTTTTCAAGAGTTCCTTTTTTGTCATGCTTCTCCTTATCTTTTTTCTTGTCCTTTTCAATAGTTCCTTTTTTGTCATCTTTTTTTACTTTACCCCCTTCTCCCTCTTTAGTTCCCTTCCTTTTCCTCTCCTTGGTACCTTTTCCATCCTCCTCATCCTCTTTGGTCCTTTTCGATTTTTCTTTGCCGATTTTAAGGTCTAATTTTAGTTCTCCCCTATCTTCATCTTTTTCCTTATCTTTTGCCAATTTTCCCTCCTTTTTCAACTGTTTCTTTGCAGTTTCAAGAGTTTCTTTTCTCTCTTTCTTCTTCTCCTCTAACAACGAAGTCACGGTATCTCTATTCGTGTTGGCCCGGCTTTGTCCTTTCAGAACTAGCTCTTTAACTTCCTTCTCATCCCTCTGTACTGAAGTCTTCCTTCTAAAGAAAGAGGGTAGCTTCTTATCAAGGGTGTCTTGTAGCATTTCCTGGAAATCTGGCGCAAAGTTCGAAGATTTTCCAAGATCTATCTCACTATCCGAATCTGCATCCTTCTCCTCATTTATATTTGCTGTGTTTTTCGCAGGTTTCTCCTCCAAGACGTTTTGCTTTTTGCCACGTTTTTTAGAGCTGGTTAAATCAGGTGGAAGATCAATAATCTCGCGAGGAATTTGCATGGCAACGTGCGTCAGTAGAGAACCCATTTCAACCTCTTCTTCTTCACCTCCACCGATCGCGTTACTAATCACACAAACCTGAAGAAGTGGGATGTAAAGCCATTTCCTATTTCACTTTTACAGTTGTGAATTCACCATGTGATTTAGACTTTAGAATACAATATACACCTCTGTAAAATGTTAACGAATAGTTTCATGATCAGAGTCACCTACCTGCGAATAATCTAGAATAATGATGACTGGATGTAAAGCCGAGTTCAGAAGGAGTGGTAGAATAGTGAGACCATAGTACAGAATAACTGAGCTTATTACTGAGTCTGTCACTCCTCCAGGGTTAACCTGTCATATGTTTATCGTTTATAAATACGTTTATAAATACGTTTATAAATACGTTTATAAATACGCGTACGTTGAAATCATGGAAAATGAAATTTAACATTAACTAGAATGTTAGATGGGCTAAAGTATATTATTGATCTGAATCATTCGTCAAATAAACTCTTCTGACTATCCTTTGTGATAAAACATCTACATTAGAAATAATAACCAAACCTCGTTGAGAAGGAATAAAAGAGGAAGGCAAAGCAGGCGAATAATCCCCACCACCACCAGTACCACATCACTTCTACTTGGAGTCTCTCTCCCCTTCTTTCGAAACAAACAGTTCACCACCAAACACGACAGTTTCACTATCAACATTGGAACCACTGTTTTGCAGAGTTCCAGCAGCATGTGGATCTCACCAAAGTGCTCGATCAGGAACTCCTCGGTAGTTTTGGCGAGGTAGAGAAGAGATGGGTGTATATGGTGAGAATCCAAGTTGAAGTTGAGGAGGTATAATTCTGAGGAGATTACCAGAAATAGTGTCAGAGCCAGTGACCAGAGCAGTGCAGCTTTGTGAGTCACTCTGATGGTTAGCAGGATGGCAATGTAAGCGATGAGGCAGGCGGAGAGCTTGTAGAGTAGTGAGAAGAGGTGGGTTTGTGTTATAAGAAGGGGCTGGAGGGAGGTGGTGTTCAGGGTCAGAGTCAGCGTCGTCACGTGACATGTGTCCAGGTGAGATAGGGTGTAGACAAAACAGATTCCTGTCAGACCTGAGGAAGTGGGGAAATGTTTAATAAAACTTATGACTAAATAATAAATGATGGCAAGGAAATTTCAGCGATACTTATTAGGCCTTTAACTCGTGGGATATTATTTTGTATCAAAACAAAACAGTTATCACAGGTACATGATTAAAATACCTTTTAATTAAATACCTAAAATACATTAAAATCAACGATATGTCAATCGTGCAGTAAAAAGCGTCCAATATTAGAACGAACCTGTAAGAATATCAGCAACCGTTAGAAGAAGATGAAGTATGGAAGAGATCTTGGTGATACTTGACCTGGTCCATGTTATCAAGGTAACCACACTGCCTGCTATCGAGATAAAGCAACATATGGACGTCAATATTATCAGAGCCAGAACCCCTAGTTCATTTGTCGTCTGCTGGCAATCTGGGAGGTTTGTTATTATTCATTTGTCGTCTGCTGGCAATCTGGGAGGTTTGTTATTATTCATTTGTCGTCTGCTGGCAATCTGGGAGGTTTGTTATAATTCATTTGTCGTCTGCTGGCAATCTGGGAGGTTTGTTATAATTCATTTGTCGTCTGCTGGCAATCTGGGAGGTTTGTTATAATTCATTTGTCGTCTGCTGGCAATCTGGGAGGTTTGTTATAATTCATTTGTCGTCTGCTGGCAATCTGGGAGGTTTGTTATAATTCATTTGTCGTCTGCTGGCAATCTGGGAGGTTTGTTATAATTCATTTGTCGTCTGCTGGCAATCTGGGAGGTTTGTTATAATTCATTTGTCGTCTGCTGGCAATCTGGGAGGTTTGTTATAATTCATTTGTCGTCTGCTGGCAATCTGGGAGGTTTGTTATAATTCATTTGTCGTCTGCTGGCAATCTGGGAGGTTTGTTATTATTCATTTGTCGTCTGCTGGCAATCTGGGAGGTTTGTTATAATTCATTTGTCGTCTGCTGGCAATCTGGGAGGTTTGTTATTATTCATTTGTCGTCTGCTGGCAATCTGGGAGGTTTGTTATAATTCATTTGTCGTCTGCTGGCAATCTGGGAGGTTTGTTATTATTCATTTGTCGTCTGCTGGCAATCTGGGAGGTTTGTTATAATTCATTTGTCGTCTGCTGGCAATCTGGGAGGTTTGTTATTATTCATCTGTCGTCTGCTGGCAATCTGGGAGGTTTGTTATAATTCATTTGTCGTCTGCTGGCAATCTGGGAGGTTTGTTATTATTCATTTGTCGTCTGCTGGCAATCTGGGAGGTTTGTTATTATTCATTTGTTGTCTGCTGGCAATCTGGGAGGTTTGTTATTATTCATTTGTTGTCTGCTGGCAATCTGGGAGGTTTGTTATTATTCATTTGTCGTCTGCTGGCAATCTGAGAGGTTTGTTATTATTCATTTGTCGTCTGCTGGCATTCTGGGAGGTTTGTTATTATTCATTTGTTGTCTGCTGGCAATCTGGGAGGTTTGTTATTATTCATTTGTTGTCTGCTGGCAATCTGGGAGGTTTGTTATAATTCATTTGTCGTCTGCTGGCAATCTGAGAGGTTTGTTATTATTCATTTGTCGTCTGCTGGCATTCTGGGAGGTTTGTTATTATTCATTTGTCGTCTGCTGGCAATCTGAGAGGTTTGTTATTATTCATTTGTCGTCTGCTGGCAATCTGAGAGGTTTGTTATTATTCATTTGTCGTCTGCTGGCAATCTGGGAGGTTTGTTATTATTCATTTGTCGTCTGCTGGCAATCTGGGAGGTTTGTTATAATTCATTTGTCGTCTGCTGGCAATCTGGGAGGTTTGTTATTATTCATTTGTCGTCTGCTGGCAATCTGGGAGGTTTGTTATTATTCATTTGTCGTCTGCTGGCAATCTGGGAGGTTTGTTATAATTCATTTGTCGTCTGCTGGCAATCTGGGAGGTTTGTTATAATTCATTTGTCGTCTGCTGGCAATCTGGGAGGTTTGTTATTATTCATTTGTCGTCTGCTGGCAATCTGGGAGGTTTGTTATAATTCATTTGTCGTCTGCTGGCAATCTGGGAGGTTTGTTATTATTCATTTGTCGTCTGCTGGCAATCTGGGAGGTTTGTTATTATTCATTTGTCGTCTGCTGGCAATCTGGGAGGTTTGTTATTATTCATTTGTCGTCTGCTGGCAATCTGGGAGGTTTGTTATAATTCATTTGTCGTCTGCTGGCAATCTGGGAGGTTTGTTATAATTCATTTGTCGTCTGCTGGCAATCTGGGAGGTTTGTTATAATTCATTTGTCGTCTGCTGGCAATCTGGGAGGTTTGTTATAATTCATTTGTCGTCTGCTGGCAATCTGGGAGGTTTGTTATAATTCATTTGTCGTCTGCTGGCAATCTGGGAGGTTTGTTATTATTCATTTGTCGTCTGCTGGCAATCTGGGAGGTTTGTTATAATTCATTTGTCGTCTGCTGGCAATCTGGGAGGTTTGTTATTATTCATTTGTCGTCTGCTGGCAATCTGGGAGGTTTGTTATAATTCATTTGTCGTTTGCTGGCAATCTGGGAGGTTTGTTATTATTCATTTGTCGTCTGCTGGCAATCTGGGAGGTTTGTTATTATTCATTTGTCGTCTGCTGGCAATCTGGGAGGTTTGCTTTAATTCATTTCCTTTTGAGATCGCGCATAAGATCTCTTATGAGATATGGAAGTTACATGAACGCTGAACAGGTACAACGTATGACTATGAGTGCAGCGAAAGGTCGCGTATAGTGCGATCTTGCAAATGCCTAAAATGTGTTTATACTTATAGGCAGCAAGAGTGCGTACAATGTTCCACTTATTATAGTTTTCTGACAATTCCAAAATTACACACAGAAGTTGTACCATGAAGCTTTAATTGCCGTTGGGGAGTGCGTCGTTCGATGATAAGTTCTTTATTTGCAGCCAAGGTTCACCCTCTCTTGTTGCTTTAAGTCGCCGCATTATCAGATCAACGTGCAATTATATTGATAATGATCTTGTTAGATAATGGACTTTGTTAGGTATCTAACTCAAAGGGACAC